CCGAGTACTTGAGCCCTTCTGTTAAGACGATGCAGAGACTATTTTCCTACAATTTGTGGCGGTTAAATCTCCCTGAAAATGATAACGCATCTGCTCTCCTAAAATCAATCAATCAACTACCCTAAATCCGTAGGAACTTTGACCACAGTCAAAGAACTCCTCATACCCTTTAGAGGAACTACAGATACTCTGATTCCACTCCTGTAAGGATATATAGGCATAAGATGCGACATCTTATCGAGTATACTTAGAAATAAACCCCTAGGTCTTTCAACCTTTAAGCAGATAAACACTTAGCAATAAACGATATAAAACAAGAGGTTCCTTTAGAGTACTACAGAAACATAGGATGCTAGCACATTCCCTAAGTTTAACCAAATCCCGAACCTATAACTCTCTAAACCTTGCATTTGCATTGCATTGTGGGTATTTCGATCTTTATCCCTACCTTTGGACAAATCAAAGTTCGGTTGCAAAATGAATTAAAGATTCAAACTAATCAATAGTTTGGTATCCAAATTTCACCGCGACACTAAGCATAAAGCAAAAGCAAAGAAGGATGATCAAAGAAATGATAGGAGAAAGAGGATAGGGCAGCAACCACATGAAGGCTATCTCAACCAAACATCCTCAAGTTTAGCCACAGTCCAACAAATATGACTTTCAATCATGAATATTGTTTGATGTATGACTAATTAATGGAATTTGACACCAAAAAACTAAATGCTAACTAACCATTATTTATTTTGCTAAGAGTTCAAATCTAAATCTAATAGAAAATCAAATCATGATAATAGTAAAGAAACACGGTAACTAATATCAAGAAATTGTCTAAGATACTCCAAGATGAAACAAATCCTATGAGATATTCCAAAATGATATCAAGATATTGTAACATATGTTTGGATCTTCAAAGGCCCCCTCACAAGCTTTAACCTTGTTATAAATGTGCCATTTAAAAGAAAGTAAATAAACTATTCAGTTCAATATTTAAAATTGGTTTCTATACAATATATACGGGGAATACTTTGTTTTGGTATGACTTATTTTTCTACCATTTTTACTCTTATTTTATTGTATAATTTACTTAATAACTTCTTATTATTAACTTCCACATAATTTATTATTTTTAACTTCTACATAATTGTTTATTATTAACTTCCACATAATTTATTATTTTTAACTTCTACATAATTGTTTATTATTAACTTCCACATAATATATTTTTGAAAAAAATTATTTAAAAAAAATATCGTTTATATTTTTATACGCATTAAAAAAAGTAGAAGAAGAAAAAAAAGGAAAAACATGGGGAGCCACCTAATTTTTCTAAAAGTGTGATAAAACATCAAATTAAAAAAATTAACTAATTCAATTGATAATTAAGATGATTTTATGACTTTTTCAACCAAATATATTTTTATTGATTCAATTATCATTTTAATTAAACCATAAATATATTAAGTATATCAATTAATTCTAATTATTTTAGAACCAAAGATATTAATTATTGATTTGATGAAGAAAGAAGAAAAAGAAACTATTCTTAATTGATTCAATAATGAATAATTGATTAGTAATTTTAATTTATTATCAATAATAATTATAAAAAAATAATAAAAGGTTACAAAATGGAAACAGAAAAAGTAAATTTGGGGAGCGTTCCACGTACATATATTTTTTATATTTTACTAGCGTTCAGACGGGCACTCCCGTGCCCATCTGTCCGCTTTTTTTAATGCGCACAGCATAGAAAAATAAACGTGTGTATATTTTGTATGAAGTTTTTATCATATTTAAGATTAATTAATGCATTTGTTTTTAGATATTGTCAAGCAGTCTTAAAATCAGGATGATACATGTATATATACTAAAAATACTTTATTGAATTAACTATATATTAATGCTACTATTATTTTAAACATACTGAATTAATCCTCCACAACACCTTGTAGCACCAACCCGAGACCACCATAACTATGAAATTCAATAAGAAAGAATATAAGCTACATTATTTGGCACAAAAATGTTTATGAACATACCTTGAGGACGACATGATGCACCATCATTTATGGCTTCCATGTTAACATCTGATATTACTGCATCCTCCAAAGCTTCATCAACATCTATATCGCCTGATACAAAAATAATAATTAACATATATATATATATATATATATATATATATATATGTGTGTGTGTGTGTGTGTGTGTGTGTGTGTGTGTGTGTGTGTGTGTGTGTGTGTGTGTGTGTGTGTGTGTGTGTGTGTGTGTGTGTGTGTGTGTGTGTGTGTGTGTGTGTGTGTGTGTGTGTGTGTGTGTGTGTGTGTGTGTGTGTGTGTGTGTGTGTGTGTGTGTGTGTGTGTGTGTGTGTGTGTCGAAATTACTGCTCGCATATGTAAAACAATATCTTGTATACCTGTAGCAGAGTGACTATTGTTGATACGTTGGTTAGGTGATGTGAAATTATGATCTGCGGGTTTAAATACATAAAATGAGGGATGACAAATAAACAATATAATACAAAGTACGATTATAATGTCTATATTGATCATCACCAACCAAGTTCAACATCATTAACATTTGTAATTCTACTTGGGTCGGCTTCATTGTCATGAGTCCCTTGAAAGTGTGATATTGGAGATCTCATATTTGTAAAATTTTGAAATGGAACTCTCCTCCGACTGTTCATAGTGCAAGATGTTTGAGCTTGTTTATCTTGCTCTTTTCGCCGCCTATAATTGACACGTCGTATCGATAAATAATTTAAGTTATAGATAAAAGATATATTAATTAAAAAAATAAGGAGAAAAAATAGTGTTATAGTAAAGGGAGTTTAATAGATTTCATTGTGTTCCAATTGCTCCTTTGTGCTATACCCCAAAATTTGACCGACCTCTCTGGCTTATGTTTTATTTCATTGCATCAGCACATACGTAAGCATTGCATTGCATAGCATTTTGCATTTCACAGGGGATCAAGAAATGTGTGTCTAACAAAAATTACCGATGGTTTTTAACCTGATCAAGGAGGTTATATTCAAGTCACCAAGTGGTTACCCTTATCGAAGACAAGTCAAGGTCCTTGAAGACAAACCGATAAGCATATGTGGTTGTCAGGGGCAGAAAAATCAAAAAAAATATATATGTGGCTTCCATCATAAGATTGAGCTGAATTGGATAGGTTTTGGTTGGGGTTCATTAAGTAGGAATGAGTGAAGTATATGTCGAAGCCCAGGTTTGACTTAATTCATCAACAAGAAAGGGATCTATTTTGTTATCAAGGTCATGGTGCATTGATTTAAATGGTGTGTGACTAAAGCCCCAACCAGGGTTATGTACAGTGTAACGAAGTTCATATACTCAAAATAAATTGGTGTTTATAAGAGGAAAGAGTCAATTCAAAAAAAATAATGTCATTACACCACAAAGAATCCAAGTATGGCTAAAGTGAATAAGTTCATGGAGATCTTACAAAAAGGGGCTTAATGAGGATTCTACAAAAAGAGAGTTTATTGTTTTACAAAGCCCATATTGGTACAAAAGCACGACAAGAAAATTACACAAAATTACGGTTACACAAATTCAATTAAGCCCATGAAGCAATTCAACCGAGGAGTTGATCAGGATTCATAGTAAGCAACCTGCAGATGTGGGCACTCATGACGGCAGTGCTACCTGTCATGAAAATGGATCATTGGAAGTTCAAAAAGAGGACATTGGGGAAGATAACGTGTATTTGGATGCTGGATTTGGTGGTTCTTCAGCAGATGGAAGACCTGTATCCACCACATGGGGGTCACAATCATGTTCCAAGTTAGATGCTGATGAACAGGATTCAGGATCAGCCAGAGTGATGCCTTCTGCTCTGGAGGATAATACTCGAACAGTATGCAAGTTTGACATAGATTTGATGAAAGCCATTGGAGATATTGCTAAAACATCTAAATCGTCTTCATCAGACATGGAGATTGAGATAGCTGAGCTTCTATATGGTTTGATGACTTCTAAGAACCATGAGTCTTCGTCACAAAAGCTTGAAGCAACCATCAATCACAACGCCTCTATTGATGTTGAGGAGAAGAAATCGGAAGACTGCAACCTGCACAATCAAATTAAGACCAACAAGTCCATAACATTACGGTTCGAACAAATTCAAATGTAGCTTTTATACCAGCCACCGTAAAGGTTACTACAAGAGAAATAAAAAGAGAACCATAAAAGAAGCGAACGGGATACCTTTGCCTTGGAGGAAGAATGCTCATTGTATACTGAGGTGTTTCAAGAAAAGGAAGAGTCTCGGTTGCTTCCATGCCATCCGACTGAATGTGGACAATCATATGCCTAAATGCTTCGTGCAGATACTCGGTCGGTTTGTAGAGTCGGCGGCATGTCTTGAGAGGAGGTCGGGAAACTGATTTCATGTGTGTTTGTGGTATCCGATTTCCAGAACAAATGGACTAGCTCATAAGCAAAGCTTATTTGGTTTACCAGATCCGTTGTAGCAATGATATTTGTTGAAGATTTCAACCTGTTAACGAGGGATTTCTCGATCACCAGAGTTCTGTTAGACACTTATGAGAAATTATGTTCAAACTCATTCAAAACCGCTGGGTTGAATTTGCTGGAATCAAATCTTAGGTTGCAACTTGTACAAAACATCATCTGAAAAGTGTTGATAACTAGCCTCCACACAGGTTATGCCACTACCTTCACACCGAGACAAAATTCTACTGCCGACAATACCTGCGACAACTTACAAGCTTCGTACGAATCTGCAACAAATTCCCACATAGAAACAGTAACAAACCGACAACACCTCCAGAATCGTACCTGCAAAACGACAAAATAAGTTGTGCCTCATTTTGAAATTGAAAACAACACAGCCACTCATTACCTGCAAGATGAAGCACAAGAACACCTTCCTACTTTCTTCTTCTAACGCTACTGTTCAACAAAATACGACATTGTTTCATCTCTATAATAATAATCACTTCCCAAATGGCGACTACAACGACGTCGTTTCTATCACCGACACAAAGGTATGTTGCCGCCGCATTGTTCGGACTATCCCTTCACGAATCCCAAGTCAACCAGACTCGCATTCTACCCTTACCAGCTTCGGATGACTCCATCTCCAACACCTATCGAATCAGTAGTAGTAGCTCTAGCAGTATTGATTCTGTGTCCAGTGATCCTGATCTCTGGGTTCACCATCACTCCGGTTTACTCCAACCCGTTTTCAAGTTTCTAGATATTGATTCATCTGCGTGGTATGGGTTAGAAGAAACTGCTGGTTCTTCTTCTGCTACACATCATGTTGGACCATATATGAGACTGCTTTCACAAGAATTTGATGAAGGTTCTGCTGAATCTTCTCAAAGGCTAGACTAAGAACTTGCATTGTCAAAAGCTGTTGATGCTATAGTACTTGAGTTGGAAAAGAATTTGCAGACTTCCAACTCTAAAAGAGAGAGGCTTAATGAGTACCAGCATCAGTGTCGCGAAAAATTTTCGGCGCCGGATGTTCAATCTAATTCTGAAAAAAGCAGATGTAAACTTTGAAACTCAGGATGAGACTGATGTTACCCCTTTAATCAACTTTGAAGACATAGACCAGGGGTCTAGTAATAGTAAAATTGAAGAGATACCTGCAACATTTACACAAGAAAAAGCAAAACGATTACAAAGACTGCTAATTGAGAAAGACAAAAGGGGCAGTCTGCAACACACAACAAACCGTACCGCCAGACAATACCTGCAAAACAAAACATCCAGCCCACACACCTGCAGAAATCGTACCATGCTTGCTACAAATCCACTCCACACCAGACCAACAAACAAAATCCTGCACCTGAAAATGACTTGACATCAATAATAAGACAATTTTTGAAAAGAAACTTAAAAGAGGAAGAAAAACAGCAAAAAGAAAAAGGAGAAAAAAATAATAAGAAGGTTGATGGTCTCGTTCAGAATATGAATTCACTGTGCCCTTGTTCCTCAGCCTCAACCTTGAGTCCATACCTTCATCCCCACAACTTCCTCAAAAAACTCACTTCAAAAAATCTGCACTTTTTCTTTTCAAAATCACACTATTATCACCACACTTCATAAACTACTGCCATGATTCCATAAACTTCAACATGTTTAAACACTAGCATACAACTACTCAAAACTGCCAATATCTCACCTTCAATCACTAACCTTCAACAAACTGAGTTTCAAGAACTCACCCCTTCGGCACCTTTCTTCGAAACCTTCGCCGAATTCTGCCGCAAGCAATGGTCACAACAACTCAGTTCCCCATCTTTATAACATAAACTCAGTTGCAGTGGTTCAAATTTGAAACATGAACAAAATCTTAGCTCACAACAACCTTCAGCAGCAATAATCTTCAGCGGGTTCAATAGCAACACAACTCTTTTGACAGCAACACAACGACACCACCGGTAATGGAAAATTACAACCAACAGCCGCGAAGAGCTCTTCAAGCTGTAGCAGAACCACATTCGACCTCTGCTTCAAACAAATCCATCAAAGACCATTCAAACTCAGCTCTGACAAACACCGGAAACCATTTAATTGCCAACCTTCAAACATCCTCCAATAAACTTCAATAAATCACCCAGAAATCTCCATGAAACCCTCAAAGCCATAATAGAACTTTCATCGAACATATGGTGGGCGACTTTTGCGTCTCTGTTCAGTACCTTCTTCCATTAATCTCCACTGTTGATTCTTATTTTCTTCAAACCTATTCTTCCAAACTAAAGCGGTTACCTTCTCCTCAATCTGTCCGCCTCCTTCAAGCTTCAACCACTCAACTCAGCTTCAAACCCTCCGATTTCAACACCATCCGAAAACCCATTTGCATTGAACCAAAAATTTGAGAAGAATGGAGAGATTGGAGAACCGAAACTGGAGATGAGATCTCTGAGGGATTTCAGCGGTTCGAGGCTCGCTAAACCAGTGGATGACATTGATGCTCGTGGTCTTTAATTCCTATGCTCTGATCTGTGCGCTGTTGAGGATACGAAGCACTTAAATCCATTTCTTTTTTTGTTTGCTTTACAAAAACGTTTATGCCACGAGGTCCAAGTTAGATGCACTCTCCTCACCAACCTCCCGTTTCTCTCTCGCACCCTCCATTTTCCTTGGACGTTTGTTTGGTTGGGTTGGCTAAGTCCATTTAGTCAACCGTGTTCTCCTTCTGGATCTATACCCTACCCTCATTCTCTGGTTCGTACCCCCTGTTCTTTTATATTTTATTTTTATTATGTAAATTATTATTATTATTAGTTATGTACATATTATATTAACCGTTGTTTATAGATTTTATTTTGTTTTAGTTTTTAAAACAGTTTATAATATATTTTTTCTAAAAAAGGGGGTTGAATATAGTTTATATATATTATTTTTTTTTCTAAGTTATAGCTTTATCTATTTTCTCTTGGAAATTTTAAGATTTGTTTAGAAGTTAATCTTATGTTTTATTTGTTATTGGACATTTTTGTCCCGTTTCATCTGTGTTGGTCGATGACGAGACCACCTTCGACTCTCTGTCAAATTATTGATGAGAAATGAAGGATCTGAGACCGCTCTCTTTCGTTTTCCATTTTCGATTCATTTTCGACTTTATTTTCATTTCACTTATTTTGGTCGATGACGACACGTCCGTAATTCATTACCAGTCAAATTATTGATGAATAATGTTGGATCTGAGACCATTTCGCTTTCAACACTTTCCGTCCATTTTCAAATCTCATCTCCTTAAAATCATTTCTTTGTGTTGAGCTAAAAAGAGGATTGGGTGTAGACCTCTTCTTCTTCGAGCGTAGGGATGCCCACTGTAGTGAGGGTGGTCTCGATGCTCGTCTGTCAATACAAAGACGCTTCCAACATTTCCTCATAAAACCTCGGTCTCGTACTGAGTATACTTTCAATAATAAATTAATTTCTCTTTGTATCAAATTAAAGAGAGAAGATTAGGTGTAGACCTCTTCCTCTCCGAATGTTGGGATGCCCACTGTAGTGAGGGTGGTCTTGATATTCGTCTTTCAATACGAAGACGCGACTTTATCCACCATCTCACTTTCACAACTTCCTTCCACAATTTTCACACCTAAAACCTTGGTCCCGCACCGAGTGCATTTCAAATTATTTTCATAACAAAAACTTGAATGGTCGTGGAGTGGTTAGGCGTAGGCCTTCTCCTATCCCGAGTGCTGACGTTTACCGTAGGGTTCTCTGTCGCAAAAAGCACTTACCATTCAAAACCAAAAACACTTTAATAAGAGAATGAAGTTCTCTTTGTGTTGAACTAAAGAGAGAGGATTGAGTGTAGTCTTCTTCCTCTCCGAGTGTCAGGATACTCACTGTAGTGTGTGTGGTCCTGATACTCGTCTTTCAATACGAAGACGCTATGTTCGCCACACATTTTTTACAACAAAAACTTTGAGATAAAGAATCGGGTACTACCTGTAGGGGTTACTATCCGAGGACCTATCTCGCCCCAAAAACAATCTCAACAAATCAAACATGATACCTTGCCTCGCGTGGCGAAAACCAACCTTTCAAACAGGATACGATACGTCCGTTCTACCGCAAACAGGTAATACGCATAAGTCTCCTCACATGCGAGCGGCAAAACACCTAAACTGCTAGAATGCGCACGATAGCGTCGTCTACCAGACCTTCCCCGCAAACCGTAGGCCGAACTACGGCTGCTCTGATTCTTTACTTCGTTCAAGTAAGGATACGTAGGCACAAGGGCCACAATCCTTGCCGAGCACAATCCCCCCTATCTGTAGTTCCCCGAACTACGTCGACTCTGACTTTCTCACATCTGTTGAGAATACGTAGGCATAGGACCGCGAAGTCCTACCGAGTCTGTTCTTTCTCTCTTCTTCCCCGTTACCTCTCTTTCCCTGTTTCTAACCCTTTCTCTCTCTCTCTCTCTCTCTCTCTCTCTCTCTCTCTCTCTCTCTCTCTCTCTCTCTCTCTCTCTCTCTCTCTCTCTCTCTCTCTCTCTCTCTCTCTCTCTCTCTCTCTCTCTCTCTCTCTCCCTTTGGAACACACTTTTATAGCATAATGTTTAAGCAAATAAATTCACACATCGACAAACAAAAGGTTCCCATCGAGTACGATGGATGCGAGGGGTGCTAATACCTTCCCCTTGCATAACCGGCTTCCGAACCCGTTCTTGGTCGCGAGACCATCTTATCCATTTCTTTCCTAAGGTTTTCTCGATATTTTCCTTTCCCCTCATGGGATAAATAAAGTTCGGTGGCGACTCTTCTGTCTATCTTTTTCGCCTCCCGTCGTTGCGCGATGCATTTTTCGAGTAGCGACAGCTGGCGACTCTGCTGGGGACACCTAGCAAGCCACGCCTATTTTGTTTGTCGCATTTGTGCTTTATTTGTTTTGCTATTTATTTTATGGTTATGTTTCTTTCTAACTTCTTGGGTTCATTTGGTTTGGTTTGTGAGGATAAAGCTTTCTACCCGAGCTTTCGAGTATGCACTAAGTTAGGAGGTGGTTTCTTTCTGATTTGCGAGACTTAGGACTCGTTGAGTTGGATTGAATTCCACCGCTCAGATGAGACCCCGTTGGAATAATTATGTCTTACGTGTAGTCGTAATGGCGTTCTTATCTTCAACTTGGGAGTCCGCGATTCTGAGGACCTTTTGTAGAACCTTATTCCAAAGGTTGCTAAAACATAACTCTGTGTTCATCCTTTTGAAGGGATTACCGTCTTACGAGTAGTCGTTATGATGGGAAACTTTTGAGGGTTAGTGCATGGGACTTTGTTTGAAAAGCCTTTGGAATACCCTCTTAAACCAATAGATTGCTCACCCGAGGTGAGAGGTATCTCGTTGTGCTGTCTTGCAGGAAAAACTTTGACCTTCATCCTACCTGTTTGTCGGTATGAACAGTTACAGTGGGATCCTTGTACTAATGTTGTTTGGTCTCGAGGCGAAGCGCTGGTCCGTCACCATCAACAATCCAACAACGTTTGATCCCTTGTTGCATTTGCATATTCATTTGCATTTCTTTGCATGTCTTGCATATTGCATCATTATTCATTTGCATAGAGGTGTTCTAATTTTGTGGACGTAATTGCTTCATATGGTTTTCCATCCGGTTTGTTCCAGAATTGAAGATCATTCCACCAAAAGAAAATCAACAGAGACAACTATAGAACAAATTCGAGAAGAGTTGAGGGGAATCCGAAGCCAAATGGGGCAATTCATGACGGACATGCAAGTTTTGTTTCAGGATCAGAAAGTGCTTAGAGAAGAAGTCCATCAGTTGAAGACTCAGATGGGCCTGATAACAGAAGTCATGAGAAATGTGTTGAGAAAGGAAGGCGATCACATGCCCGAAGCTGCGGC